CTGGCTTAGCATTCATTGGAAGGATTTGATAAGCCATTTCGGGTCTTAATTGATTGTTCACGCTTACGGTGGCTTTCAGACCGCATCCATTATTTTCGTCTCCCCCCTCCTCTTTTCCGAACATAGATGGACTCGTCCATCTGAACAAACTGTCAAATCGCTCTCCGTGGTGCTAACGTAAAAAAATACCGCCACTTTTTTCAAATTTTCTTGCTGTGGTTTTCACACCTGATGATGATTGCTTGTGTTGCAGTCGAAACGTCGTGAGAATTTTGTTGTTTTATATTTTTATTATTTTATTGTTTCCCTTCTACGTGACTTTACCGAAAGAACCAAGAATATGAATCCCTGCAGTTACACGACACTAGTTTTTGAATTTTGTGTACCGTACCATTTGCGACACATTTATACACTGTAAATAACGCGATCTAACCCAAAAACCTTTATTATGAATCTGTTGTCTTGCCAGAAAGGGTAAAACCTATTGTTACAATTTACCAGGCCATTGCAAACCGATTCCCACCTGCTGATTCCGCCAAACCCACCGTTGATATCCCCCGTAAACATCTGTAGTGCCACAGCGATGGCTGCTGGCGAAAAAGTGGGTCTGCAGTGTACGGCAGTGTTCAAGTCAGCAGGCCACGATAGACACGAGGTGGGGGGGGGCATCTAAGGGGCCCATCGGGAACATCTAAAGGGGAAAGGTCACAGAAGTGGCCCATCGGGAACATCTAAAGGGGAAAGGTCACAGAAGGGGCCCATCGGGAAGCCCCGGGAACCCGCTGGCAGGTTCCAGAAAGGGGGCGTGGCTGGGGCGGAGCGAGGGGGCCCTGTGGGGAGCCTCGTGGCTGTTGCTGGAGGTGGGATCCCCATCGTGCCGCTCAAGTTCGGAGTCGTCACCATCCCGGGCCGCCGCTAGTCAGACAGCCTACCAACTGTTCTCACTAAGGGGCCGTCCATAAATGACGTCACGCACCTGGGGTGGGTGGGGGGGTCAGACATTTGTGACGATGTTTGACGAAGGGGGGGGGGGGGGGTTTGAGAAGTGTGACGTCACGTGAAAATGCGCAACTTTAAATAAATATAGGCAACACGTTCTACTTAATTAAATAGACTTTTTAATAAATGTTTTCTCCTACAACATCAGAGTGCAGCGCCACATTAAATACGCACTACAATGACAATAGTTTAAAGCGATTTGAAGCATGTTTTATTTAGGGGGGGGGGGCAGAGCTTTGTGACGTCATATTTGAGGGGGGGGGGATCTGACTTTTTGTGACGCCGTGTGACGAGGGGGGGGTCAAAAAATCGCGTGACGTCATTTATGGACGGTGGGAATGGCACCTCCGATAAGCTCGGCTGTCGACGTACGGTGTGAAAGAAGTTCAACACGCGTGACGTTACAAATCGCGGCCGTGGCTCCCACAGACTGTTGCCAAGTCACGTGCCGCTCGTGTCTGTTTCATGAGTCGTTCGCTTGCAGAGATTTTACACAATCAGACACTTTAAAAGGTTTAGTCGTACTTTTAAGGTTTAAAGCTTTCGGTTGTTATTCTATACTGGATATATATGTAAACAAAACATGACAAAAAAACCTCTTCTTTTGCGATGAACTAAATTTGTGTCCACTAAGCGCCGCTGTTCTATCATTCGGGGCGCTGTTTTAAAATCACTTTTTGCCTCTAAAAGTACAAATTGTGACAACAATGAATCGATGAATCAACATAGTTGAGCTGTAAGCCATGGTTTTGTGCTAGATCTGTGAAACTAAGCGCTCCCCACACACTTTTTCATTCATACATCGGTTTGCAACGTTTTTAATATCTGAAAACTGATGTTGGGCGAACAAATTACAAATACCCTTCCCAAGGCGACATTTGTACCTAGTTTCATGGTCATTCTGCGAAAAACGATGGATACACAGCGTCAACGTGTTCGTACAGCAGTGTAAATCGATATATTTAGCTCAAAATGAGTGTTTTTGTTGGCAAAATGAAACGAAACAGCGGCCCCTAGCGCCCGGAAACTGCTCCCCGAGCGGACAAAAGTTTTCGAAAAAGTAAATTTGTGTTTGTAATTTCCCTTTTACCGATCTCTCCCTGATGTTTCAGGTTTCCTCCTCCAGGTGTCCTCCACTCTCCAAATGCGATCCTGTCCGTCATCGTGAATCAGCTGCACCGTGCCCGTCATCATTCATACAGAGACACACACCTACAGACACCTGCTCTTCAGTTGTTTACACCTCCACGCGTGTTTATTCTTCTCCACTGATCGCCGTGCGTGGGAGTCGAACCAGGCAGACAGCAGTCAGAGACAGCAGTCAGAGACAGCAGTCAGAGACAGCAGTAGCGAGAAGCAGCAGCCAGAGACAGCAGTCAGAGACATCAGTCACAGACAGCAGCCAGAGACAGCAGCCAGGAGACAGCAGCCAGAGACAGCAGCCAGAGACAGCAGTCAGGAGACAGCAGTCAGAGACAGCAATTAGAGACAGCAGCCAGGAGACAGCAGTCAGAGACAGCAATCAGAGACAGCAGTCAGAGACAGCAGTCAGGAGCCAGCAGCCAGAGACAGCAGTCAGAGACAGCAGCCAGAGACAGCAGTCAGAGACAGCAGTCAAACAGCAGCCAGAGACAGCAGTCAGAGACAGCAGCCAGAGACAACAGCCAGAGACAGCAGCCAGAGACAGCAGTCAGAGACAGCAGCTAGAGACAGCAGCCAGAGACTGCAGTCAGAGACAGCAGTCAGAGACAACAGTCAGAGACAGCAGTCACAGATAGCAGTCACAGACAACAGTCAGAGACAGCAGCCAGAGACAGCAGCCAGAGACAACAGCCAGAGACAGCAGTCAGAGACAGCAGTCAGAGACAACAGTCAGAGACAGCAGCTAGAGACAGCAGTCAGAGACAGCAGTCAAACAGCAGCCAGAGACAGCAGTCAGAGACAGCAGCCAGAGACAACAGCCAGAGACAGCAGCCAGAGACAGCAGTCAGAGACAGCAGCTAGAGACAGCAGCCAGAGACAGCAGCCAGAGACAGCAGCCAGAGACAACAGCCAGAGACAGAAGCCAGAGACAGCAGCCAGAGACAGCAGCCAGAGACAGCAGTCACAGATAGCAGTCACAGACAACAGTCAGAGACAGCAGTCAGAGACTGCAGTCAGAGACAGCAGCCAGAGACAACAGTCAGAGACAGCAGCCAGAGACAGCAGCCAGAGACAGCAGCCAGAGACAGCAGCCAGAGACAGCAGTCACAGATAGCAGTCACAGACAACAGTCAGAGAGAGCAGTCAGAGACTGCAGTCAGAGACAACAGTCAGAGACAACAGTCACAGACAACAGTCAGAGACAGCAGTCACAGACTGCAGTCAGAGACAGCAGCCAGAGACAACAGTCAGAGACAGCAGTCAGAGACAGCAGCCAGAGACAACAGCCAGAGACAGCAGCCAGAGACAGCAGTCACAGATAGCAGTCACAGACAACAGTCAGAGACAGCAGTCAGAGACTGCAGTCAGAGACAGCAGTCAGAGACAACAGTCAGAGACAGCAGTCACAGATAGCAGTCACAGACAACAGTCAGAGACAGCAGCCAGAGACAGCAGCCAGAGACAACAGCCAGAGACAGCAGTCAGAGACAGCAGTCAGAGACAACAGTCAGAGACAGCAGCCAGAGACAACAGTCAGTAATTACAACCAGCATCATCAGGCTGAGAGCGACATTTGTGTAGAAGTTTATCTGTTTCGTTCCTTAAATAGATGTGTGATGACGTCACCTGTGAGCACTTCACGTGCGAATGGGGGTGGGGTGTCACTTGGTATGGTGTCACACCTAGACGCCTCACTTGGTATGGTGTCACACCTGTGACATGACGCCCCACTTGGTATGGTGTCACACCTGTGACAAGACGTCTCACTGGGTATGATGTCACACTTGTGACAAGACGACTCACTGGGTATGATGTCACACCTGTGACAAGACGTCTCACTGGGTATGATGTCACACTGTGACAAGACGTCTCACTGGGTATGATGTCACACCTGTGACAAGACGTCTCACTGGGTATGATGTCACACTGTGACAAGACGTCTCACTGGGTATGATGTCACACCTGTGACAAGACGTCTCACTGGGTATGATGTCACACCTGTGACAAGACGCCCCACTTGGTATGGTGTCACACCTGTGACAAGACACCTCACTGGGTATGATGTCACACTGTGACAAGACGCCCCACTTGGTATGGTGTCACACCTGTGACAAGACGTCTCACTGGGTATGGTGTCACACCTATGACAAGACGTCTCACTGGGTATGGTGTCATCTGTGACAAGACGTCTCACTGGGTATGATGTCACACCTGTGACAAGACGCCCCACTGGGTATGGTGTCACACTGTGACAAGACGTCTCACTGGGTATGATGTCACACCTGTGACAAGACGTCTCACTTGGTATGGTGTCACACTGTGACAAGACGTCTCACTGGGTATGATGTCACACCTGTGACAAGACGCCTCACTGGGTATGGTGTCACACCTGTGACAAGACGTCTCACTGGGTATGGTGTCACACCTGTGACAAGACGCCCCACTGGGTATGATGTCACACCTGTGACAAGACGCCACACTGGGTATGATGTCACGCCTGTGACAAGACACCTCACTGGGTATGATGTCACACTGTGACAAGACGTCTCACTGGGTATGGTGTCACACCTGTGACAAGCCTCACTGGGTATGATGTCACACCTGTGACAAGACGTCTCACTGGGTATGGTGTCACGCCTGTCACCCCGATTACAAGACTCCCACCCCCGTGCGTTTTATAATCCGGAGAATAGCGGCATGAAAGCCAAATCCGGTCTGCGTGTGATGGGCCTGGGGTTGAGATCTACTGACACTGTGGTTGAGAATCAGGTTTATTTCAGGTGCCCCTCGTTATGTGCCAGGATGTCACGACCCCTGGGGAGCTTATTCCGAGCCACTCATGTACATGCATCGTACCATTTGTTTCAAAGAGTTTTTTTTATTAACTTAAAGTGTTTTTTTCCGGAAAGTACAAGCACGTAACACTGATCAGGATATATGCTCCTAAACTACGTACGATAGGAATCAGCAGTTTGAAGGTACACCAATCGTCGCGAAATGACGAATTCGTCATTTATTACATTCGTATTATTGTACACTTCCGGCCGCATCTCCGGTTAGCACGGTTGGCTACGTACGGCGCGAAAGAAGTTCAACGTACATAATGCATCCAGTACGTGACTTCATGTCGCAACAGTGTGAGTGAGAGAGAGAAGTGAAGAGCATGTGAAGTGCCTCGCGTCTTTAGAACACCCTCCTTCGCCATTCTCGTGCGTGTTCTGTCGACTCTCCAGCGTCTCGGACGCCCATCGTGTCGCGAAGCAGAAATGCCCGGAATGCGTTTGACCTCGGAAGCCAAGCAGCCTTGAGCCTGAAGAGTCCTTGCTTGGAGAGGCGACCGCACGTTGCAGCACACGTGGAAGGTTGTCGCATGTACAGGGCTGCAGAGGGGATGTGTCGCTGGCAGGGGGCAGTGTGTAGCAGTAAATCCGTTGTGCTGTACTTTATGTGCCCCCCCCCCACTCTCCACATCCATCACCACTGCTCCCTCCACCGATCAATGTGAAGTATGGTCAAATAACTTCCACGAGACGCGGGGCAGCGGTGAGACTCTCTCGCCCAGCAGCGGATAGATACGCACGTACTTTGAACTTCTTTCGCACCGCACAGTAGCCAACCGCGCTAATCGGGAGGTGCCGTTGTGGGAAGGGCGACAAACGAGGCGCGCGCGCACACACACACACACAACAACAACAACACAAAAAGCAACTCTACCAAAATGGGCTTTCAATCTAGATTTAAAAGTGCATACATAGCTCCCTAGTGGCTTCCTGATATCGCAAACGCAAGGGTGTCTGGACATCACTTGGGAGGGTTTACGTGCGCCTCCGAGACGCAGTGGCGTGCGTGCCGAGCGCGCCGGCCGTCGGGTTCCGCCGAGCGTGCGTTGTTGAATTTGTGGCGCGCCTCGCAGTGAGCGAGGGAGACGGAGCGGAGCGGATTTCCCCGCACGGATTTGGGCTCGGTGCATCTCCCCCCTTGCCGGATGCGCCGAACCTCGAGCCACCTGCGCGACAGCATAAAGATAAATGGGGGTGGTGGTGGGGGTGGGGGGGGGGAGAGAGGCAATATTGTGTACAAACTCATTTATACGCGTTGGTGTGGAGCATCGTGTCAAATAAAGCGCGTCCTTGCAAGCCATGGCAGGAGACGCGGAATGCCTCCCCCAGTCGTAGTGGGCGACTGTGGTCATGGCAGGAGACGCGGAATGCCTCCCCCAGTCGTAGTGGGCGACTGTGGTCATGGCAGAACAGACCGTGCACAGTATACCGAGCCAATGCCAGATCCACAGATACGGCGCCACGCTGCGCTGCCTCCTGACGCTGCTGCCTGGTGGGCTTGACCACGTGCCTGTGACGCATTGCAGTCGTCACTCTGCGTCGATGTCAAGGAGGAGACGTCAAATAACACGCTCGCTGTATCGGGAGATGACACGGGAACAGACACGCGGAAAGACACAGACTAGACACAAGAGTCTCGTTGTCACCGCTGAAGGGGCATCAGGCTGCAGTCGCAGGCCCAGGGGTTCCCGTGCAGGTGCAGGATCCGCAGACTCGTCAGGGACGAGTAGGGCAGCTGCAGCGAGCGCAGTTTGTTGTGCCGCAGGTCCAGAGAGCGCAGCGCCGGGCTCAGCCCCCGCAGAGACTGCGCGTGCACCTGGAGGGGAGACACGAGCCACCTGATGATGGGTGGGTGGCACGCTGGCTCGGAGATGTTCACTACCTCGCCCGGTGCACAGGAGGTCGTGGGTTCGATCCCGACCCCTGACGCCTGCTGCTGTATTTTTGGAGTTTGCGGTGTCTCTCTCTCCGTGGCCACGTGGATTTTCCTCCAGATCCTCATGTTTTTCTCCTCCACATTTAGAAACGCGTGTTTAGAGTATTCGGCTGCTATAAATATCCACGCGATAAGCCACTTCGTTGAGCTATCATTTGTGGCCAGGTCGCTTCTGAAAAAAAATAGCTATATAGCTCTGTGGGCTGTATATCTAGCAAAATAAATAAAAACATTCGTTTGGTTTGCAACGCCTCGTGTCCTAGACCAGAGTGGTCTGCCAGTGTTCTGACACAGCTCGTGTCAGACAATTTCGGCGTGGCGATATTATCTTCCTGTATTACGTATCACGTGGAGTCCACTGGGGTCAGAGCAGACGTCGATACCAGCTAAGGCAGCACAACTTTAGTACGACCGATGTTTTTTTACGGCTAATGCGAGTGAACTCTATTGATGATCCACTCCGTTAAAATGGTTATCGCATAATTCGCCGTTGTTGGTCACGGAGAGCGGTGGCTCACAACCGGGGGACGTGGTAATGTCCCAGGGGGGGTGTAACGTGCGGTGATTTGTAAAAGTATTAAATGATATCGTGCCTGAGAGTCTCTGGCGATAAATGACGCATGAATCTGGAAATATAAAATAACTACGATACAATGTAAATGCATATGGTAACCCTAGAACGACATTGATGGTAAACAGCGCGGGTTTCCAACAGTAGCCAGCGAGCGTGAACACATTCACTTCACGCGCGCTCACAGAGTCCGTGGAATTTTATTTTTATTCCCTTGCAGCGACTTGGCCAGCTCGGCTACCTCACAAAATGGGCAATTGGTGAAAAAGATATCGATGTTCATTAATCACACGTGTATTTCTCAGAAGTAAGTTGGGTCAGGCAAAGGGGGGGGGGGTACTCGGTTGAAACAAAATTCCAGAAGGGGGGGGGGGGGTAACACAGTAGCCTAAGAATGTCTGAGAATCACAGACATCGAGAGAGATGGAAACCCCACGACAGCGATTGGGGGTCGGCTGCCCAGATTGTCCTTCTGCACGTTCTTCCCTTCTTCCTTGGCTCTTCGTCTCGTCACCCCCCGCCGTTCGTCATTCCGACACTGAGTTCTCAGAGCCACGTTGGGTCAGGCAAGGGGGTTGTTAACTCGTCAGGATTCACAGAGAGAAGACCCCATATTATGGACCCATGGACTTACCCGGAGACCCATACACGTACACAGACTTACACGGCGACCCATACATGTACTTATACCTCCATATTATGGATGTTAGTAAAATCGTGCCCTATAGGCAAGTGACCAAGGCATGGAAGTTTAGAGTAAATACGTCGTTATGGTTAAGACAGTCTAACTGCCCACACACATTGTTGTTGGTTTTATTACTTTACAGATTAAATTTTGAGAGACTACTGTATACCAAACATCTCGCTCAGAGCATTCGCAATGGTCACATTTAGAGATGACGCGTTGCCACGTGTTTTGTATCAAAGTTCGACTGTTCATTGTTTCTTTCACCATCCAGTATATTTTCGGTAATGTGAGACCTGCCACAGATATTAGTGTTTGATAAATAAAAACTGCCTTGACGATGATGAATCTCCACAATCGTAAATTTCCCTCTCTGTTCAAGAGCCATCCCGCGTATGATTATGTGCTGTGCACGTGATGTGAAAAGGCATTGCATTGGTGAAAGCAGAGGTCACGTAAAAGGCAAAAGTGCGGCCCTCCAACTACTAGCTCACGTGGCCACGGCTGGCAAAAGGGCCTCCTCACTCGAGGGCATTGTGGCCTGCGCTTCCACGCTGACCAGAAGGTCGAGGGAACGATCGGAGTACCCACACTTTACCCCACCGCGTGCCACCTTCCGATGGGCTCTGGTGACAGAGGCGAATGGATTTAAGCCGCTTGCCTCACTGCTTCAACTGCCGCGTGTGCAAATCGAGGCAGCTACCAAGCACCCGCGTGCGATTTCACCACGACCTCATCCCGACCACAAACGAACGATGAACGCGTACGTGCAATGTGTAATCAACACGATGCAGACGAAACGCCCTCACCTTCTGCAGATCCGTGTAGCCGATCCACAGGTGTTGGAGGAACCTGGGCCCCTTCGCGAAAGCGTCCGGGGCGATGGATTTGATGGGGTTATAGGAGAGGTCAAGTTTCTTGAGGTTGGGCGCGTTCTGCAAGCATCGCGTTGGCACGTGGGCGAGCTTATTCTTGTCCAGGGAGAGCGTCTCGATCTCAGGGGTCGAGGAAAAGGTCGCGGCTGGGAGCGACGAGACGTTATTGCTCGTCAAATTCAGACCGCGCAATTTGCGCGCCCCGTCGAAGGCCTTTTCGTCCACGCGATGGATTCCATTGTAACCCAAATTGAGGGAATTCAGATTGTCCAGAGGTTTAAACATGCACGCACCCAGGACGGTGAGCAAATTATGATCCAAGTATAGGTACGTGAGCGAGCTGAGGCCATTAAAGACGTAGTTACTCAAGTGAGAAATGCTGTTGTTCGACAAATATAGATAAATCAGCTTGCCCAAACCGTAAAATGCATCTTTACCAAAGTCGTTGATTCGATTGTTTTGCAAATGCAGCGAGAAGAGGTTATTTGCCGTGGAAAACGCCTTCTTGGGAACGACAGACACCTGGTTGTCCTGCAGGTCCAGAAGCCAGGTGTACCCTGGGATGTTCCCAGGCACCGCCGTGAGGCCCTTGCTCTTGCAGGCCACGTGGTGGACCTCTGGCCTGCAGTTGCAGCGCTTCGGGCAGCCTTCGGGTTCGCGCGGCCGCCCGCCGGGCCTCGCGGAACGCTGCCCGCTCTTGCACTTGAGCTGATCGGGCTGCAGGTCGGTGAGTCGCCTGAGATAGACCCCGACGGGGGTGGCGCATGTGCCGCTAAACGACAGATTGGCGGCGTTGGCACGCAGCCACTCGCGGAAGTCGCGCAGGTAGCAGTCGCACTGCAGGGGGCTGCCGTGCAGGGACAGCTGCCTGAGCCGCGTGAGGGAGGTCATGGGGTGGACGACCTTGAGCTGACTACGCCGGAGATAGAGCGACAGCAGGCCGGGAGACGCGTCGAACGCGCCGGGCGCCACGTTCTGCAGAGCCGTGTCGTCCGCGCGGAGCCGCTGCAGGGCCGGCGTGCGAAACGCGGAGTCTCCGATGAATGTCAGCGGGTTCTCGCTCAGGTCCATCGCGACCACCCGCCGGAGCTTCGCCAGCGCCTCGACGGGGACGAACTGCAGGCGGTTCCCGTCGAGGTCGAGTCGCCGCAGAGACGAGAGACCCGCGAAGACGTCGTCGCCCAGGCTGCTGAGCGCGTTGTTGGACAGCCGCAAGTACCCGAGCCACTTGAGGCCCCGCAGCGCGCCGTCCGGCAGGTAGGTCAGCCGGTTCCCCGTCAGGTTCAGCAGGCTCAGCTGCTGCAACGAGGAGAATGCCCCAGCTTTGATCTCGAGGAGCCGGTTGTTGTGCAGGAGCAGCGTCTTGAGCGTCGTCAGCCCAGCAAAGGCCCCGGGATGCAGAATCTGAAGGTCGTTGTTGCTCAGGTCGAGCCCCGCCAGGTGGCTCATACCCCGAAACACGCCGCCGCCGATGTCTCGGACGCCGCAGTCCCGCAGCTGGAGATCCTCCAGGCGCGGCACGCGAGCAAAGGAGTGCGCGGTGAGAGCCGTGATGCTGTTGCCGTTGAGATGCAGCGTCCGCGTGCGGGGTGGCAGCCCGCGCGGCACGCTCGTCAACCGCTTGGAGACGCATCCGACGTCGCGCTTGAGGCTATCGCACTGGCACCTCGGGGGGCACGCCTGGGTCTCGTGTTTGACGGCAAACGCCGCGAAAGAATACATGAAAATGTGAATCATGCTGCGCTCTGCCAAGACCATCTTACACAAAGCCGTTAAGCATACCATTGCGATGTTAAGGCATATCAACCTTTTTGAATGGAGCGCATCTTCAACTCGGATTTAAAGGTGGGCTGCTCGGAAGAGAAGCAACGTTTGTTGGCTCTCGTGTCGGACAACTTCAGCTCCGCCGCAACTTGACAGCTCTTGGCTGAAATTGAATCGTACCCAGATCTCGATTCAACGCATGGTCTGTGCACATCTTCCTCCAAGAAAGCCCGAACGCGCTCCAAATTCAACATGCTCCTCAAAAGAATGTCAAGTGCAAATGCCGGTTTCTACATCTGCGTGTGACGCCGCGCCTAATGAATGAAGACCTTAAAAAAAATACGTTTATAAAAAAATATATATTTTATAATCGTCGATTCTGGCATTTTTTTTGCAACACCGTTGGATAGGCTGAAATGCATTTATATTTGTACAAGAGTTAGTGGTGTCATGCATATTATTATTATTGCACACCTGTGTTGATGGTAACCACGGGAAAGTGATGTTCACACGATTTCTTGGAAATAGTGACGAAGTTCCCAGTCTCGTTATATTTACATTGTATAAGGTCACGTGCTGGAAAGTACCAACATTTTTTGGCAAAAATATGCTGATGTCTCATAATTCATCAGGACCTCAAGAATGTCCCTCGTCATTGCTTGAAGTTACGCGAGCCCCTTCTGGACCCATTGCGCTGAACCTTAAACGGTGCGAATTGAACCCTGATGAAACTTGCAGAGCTGAATGGAGCTCAAAAGAGCTCACAAACTTAACACCACCTTACTCTGTGGTTCTTTCGGTAAAGTCACGTAGAAAGAAAATAAATAATAGAATACGACGTTTCGATTTCAACACAAGCAACCATCATCAGGTGTGAATGAATGCAAGCTCGGAGAGAGACACATACACAGAGAGAGAGAGAGACATACAGAGAGAGAGAGACACAGAGAGAGAGAGAGAGAGACACAGAGAGAGAGAGAGAGAGACACAGAGAGAGGCACAGAGAGAGACGCAGAGAGAGACACAGAGAGAGAGAGACACAAAGAGAGAGAGAGAGACACACACAGAGAGAGAGACACACAGAGAGAGAGACAATACACAGAGAGACACAGAGAGAGAGAGACAATACACAGAGAGAGACACAGAGAGAGATAGAGACACACAGAGAGAGACAGAGAGAGAGACACAGAGAGAGAGAGACACACAGAGAGAGAGACATACACACACACAGACAATACACAGAGAGAGAGACACACAGAGAGAGAGACAAACACAGACACGGAGAGAGAGACACACAGAGAGAGACAAACACACATGAACATAACACTAATAAGAACACGGTTCTTACTAGTGTTGTGTTAATGGTCTAAACACCAGGAATTTGTATGTACGTATATATGTTGAACTTCTTTCGCACCGTACGTAGTAACCCGTGATGAATGGAGGTGCGGGGTAAGGTCAACAAACCGAACATGAAAAACAGTTTTAAAGAAATGAGTCTTCAATTCAGATTTTAAAAGTTGCATAGCTTCAGTGGCGTCCTAAGATCGGAAGGAAGAGCGTTCCAGACGGCCGCAGAAGCACTTCGGAAAGCGCCGCGCGATGCGGTGACCGCCGGGAGAGTTCGCGTGATGATGGTTCATGCTCCTTGACGAGATCACGAAGGTGTTGGTCGTTCATTTGTGGCGAGCAAAGCGTGGAATGAGTGCGCTTCAAAGATGTCCTTTGTTACTTTTCCACTTAAATCACAAGTTGCTGCTAAACTGTCGAATCCGTAGAACTTAAATTGCAAAATCGACATGCGGCCCGTGTCTGTTAACACACCGGTGGAATAACCAAGCTAAAGCCATTTGAATGTTTCCGTAACGTAATTTTTTACCCTGAACGGTTTCCAAAAGCGAATTGTCCGAGCCAACTTGCATCACAGTACATTTATTGTATTTAATATCAATTTATGTTCGTGCAGTTTATTTAATTTTCTTCGGTAACACGGTAATTTTTTTGTAACTACATGTTTTTTTATTTAAAGCTTTCGTGACTGCAGTAATTCATATTCTTTGTTTTTTCGGTAAAGTCACGTTGAAGGGAAACAACAAAATAATAAAATATACATAAAACAATAAAAAAAATTCTCACGACGTTTCGACCATAACTCAAACGGTCGTCTTCAGGTGTGTTGGTTTGCATAAATGTATTTTTAAACGGCGCATTTATTTATTTATAAAAACGTTAGCGCCACGCGCAACGATTTGGCAGTTTATTTAGGACTAGTCCATCTATATTCTGAAAAGAGGAGGGGGGAGACGAATTTTTGTATAATGTATGCTGTCTAAAAGCCACTGTAAGCGTGAACAATCAATTAAGACCTGAAATGGTTTATCAAATCTTTCCAATGATTGCTAAGATAGAATCCATCTTCTCGGTTGAAATTGTCTCTGTGCTTGTATATGTGGATAGCCTCATGAACGAATCTCTCATGGAAGCCAGATGGCTTACAAATAACCTCTGTCTTGGAAAAGTCAATGGCATGTGAGCCTACTGAATTAGAACAATGATCTGCCACGGCCGAGGTGTTGGTCCTACCGTGTTTAAGGTCTGCTTTGTGTTCACGAATGCGGTCCGAGATATGGCGTTTGGTTTATCCAATGTAACTACTACCACAGAGGCAACTTAGTTTGTAGACACCAGGGTAAATAAATAAATAAATGCGCCGTTTAAAAATAAATTTATGCAAACCAACACACCTGAAGACGACCGTTTGAGTTATGGTCGAAACGTCGTGAGAATTTTTTATTGTTTTATATATATTTTACTATTTTGTTGTTTCCCTTCAACGTGACTTTACCGAAAAAACTAAGAATATACATGTTTTTGGTTGTTGTTGTTGTTTCTTTGAGTTATTATATATTTGCTTCGCTGTTGCACACGAGCAGTGCCACAATAAAGAGACACTGTGGCCCCGGGCTGAGGCCGGGGTGGCCGGGGTCACGTGAGGTAAGGGGGGGGGGGTGAGCGATTTTGGGAGCGGGGGGGGGGGGATCCCCCAACCCCCCCCCCCCCCCCCCAATATCTGTAAGCCAAGGCGCTGTGGTGCAACTAAAGCTAACAGCGATGGAATCACCGATCTTGCTGATATTAGCCAATCAAATGAAGAGAATCGCCGATCTTGCTGATATTAGCCAATCAAATGAAGGGAATCGCCGATCTAGTTGATGTTAGCCAATTAAATGAAGGGAATCGCCGATCTCACTGATATTAGCCAATCAAATGAAGGGAATCGCCGATCTCGCTGATATTAGCCAATCAAATGATAGGGAATCGCCGATCTTGCTGATAGTAGCCAATCAAATGATAGGGAATTGCCGATCTTGCTGATATTAGCCAATTAAACGAAGGGAATCGCCGATCTCGCTGATATTAGCCAATCAAATGAAGAGAATCGCCGATCTCGCTGATATTAGCCAATGAAATGAAGGGAATCGCCGATCTCGCTGATATTATCCAATCAAATGAAGGGAATCGCCGATCTCGCTGATATTAGCCAATCAAATGATAGGGAATCGCCGATCTCGCTGATATTAGCGGAATCTATAGCAATCAGCCGCGAGTTACGATCCACACCCACCACATGTGGGGGGCAAGTCTCTGATCAGTGATTTCGTCGGGTGTCCGATGTTATCGCATCGCCAACCACGGAGTCTGCCCTTGACCAGGGGGCAGGGGCCTCGAGTTGGCCAGTGCGGGGTGAGAGGAGGGGGGAGGAGTTATTCGACGGGGCCGTGCGTGATTGGTAGAGAGCGAGGTCAACAAATAAAGTCAAGGGCTTACGTAACGATATTACGGGGCTCCGATTGGAGGGCGCTGCACGAGGTCGAGTGGATTGACAGGGGCTGCGATGGCGTGCGACCACATTTGTGTGTCGAAGCGAGGGCTACCCGCGTACAAAAAAGTGTGGGGGGGGGGGGGGGGGCGACGTTCGCCAGAGCCGAGGGAGGGGGCCTCCCGCGGGGCTCCGGCCGGGGCGCTGCTGTCGTACGGGCCGCTCGGTGGCCGCCACGGTGCTTTGCGCATGGCTACGCTGCGGGCGCTGGCCGCCGTTGTCTGGGCGAGCCGGTGGCTGCTGGTGCCGCGGAGTCGCTCAGAGCGCCGTCGAGGTGGCGTAAGGCAGGCCCTAAGACTGTCGTTACGTACCCTGGGGGCTTCTGCTGCTTCGCCTCAAACACCGAGGGAGGGGGGGAGGGGGAGCACGCGTCAGGGCCGGTGCGAATGGTTGGCGCACCAGGGTCCGTTTCGTCGCAGAGTTTTTCCGCGTTTGTCGCTACGCCGGGGCGCCGTTGGCAAGCCGGTGAACTACGAGGGCCATGCACAAGCCCGTGCTGTTACCGTCGCCCGAGAGCTGTGATGGTGGGTTGGTTGTAATGGGTTGGCAGGAAATTGTTTTCCCGCCCAAGTTGGTTCGCGTCCCTACGCGATGTCAATAGTGCACAACGAATCAAACGGCATCGTTAATACATTACAAATCTTGTAGAGATGCACTGCATTTGAGTCATTGTCCTTTCTGTTGCCGTCATAGAAAGAGGGAATTGCACGGGTGAGAAAATTCATCCATACTCCTCTTTCTCCCCATATATATAAAAAAAAAATCACAAGTACGTGATTGCTTTTTGCCAGATTACTTTCGCTTAAGTATATGTCGTTTTAACCAGGAGAGAACTCAAGAGGCCAGGATAACACCTCACTTGCAACAATGACAAATGCAACAACATAAATTCTCAGCGGAACGGTGAAGCAAGGCGACTCTTGCAGAGGACACTAATCCGCGCGTTCTCTTGAGTCACCAACTCACCTCGTTCAACAAAATGAACGTGGATGTTGAAGCTCAGCACGGCCCCGCAGTGGATCGATTGTAGTAAAGTGTATAAAAGGTTTCGATTTAAAGCTTTCGTGACTGCAGGGATTCATATTCTTGGTTCTTTCGGTAAAGTCATGTAGAAGGGAAATAATAAAATAAAAAACAATAAAATTCTCACGACGTTTCGATTGCAACACAAGCAATCGCCATCAGGTGTGAAAACCACAGCAAGAAAATTATAAAAAAAATGTATTAAAAATTGGTTTTCACACCTGATGATGATTGCTTGTGTTGCAATCGAAACGTCGTGAGAATTTTATTGTTTTATTTTTATTATTTTATTATTTCCCTTCTACGTGACTTTAGCGAAAGAACCAAGAATATGTATAAAAGGTGTAAAGAAATGGTTCTCATCGGTGGTGATTCAAGCCTTGGGACATCATGATGATGCGCCAAGTGCATGACCAATCACGTGCATTGCACTTCAAGGGGACTATATGTCAAAGCATCAAAAAGAAAGTATTTATTTTCTTTTATTACCAAAACAGGTTCCATGCAATACATAACCCAGCAATGCTTATATTAAAGAGACTTAAGAATACTTCCCCCTGGTACCAAACACAATATTAGGCAGATAAACATGTATGTATATATTTCAACTCTCCCCCCCCCCTATTAAACAGTCATGTAAACCCATCATCAAGATACAAAATATTACACGGGATTATCATTCTACTTATTTGCACCTAAATGCAATACCTATGCCTGCCAGTAATAATCCTCTTGTGCTTGATAGTTGAAGACGCGTCAAACATGTACACAGCAGAGCCCATGTTAAAGTGTAAGAGCATTCGGCAAACTCGGAGTACAGTCATGTAATAAAGAGACGTACACATCATGCATTAAACATCTTTACAAAAAAACCCGATAGCAAGTACCATAAAAACTTATCACCACCAAGCTGGCATTTTACATCGTATGTAGAGGCGTTCATCCAGCAGTGGATTCACCCGGGCCATCATTGCCGCTGCTGCCAATGATGATGGGAATGATGACGAGTAGGGAGGGTCAAGTGGCGACACGTGGCGTCCGACTAAACACCGGACGTTGGTCCAACGTTGCGCGTTTACCACGGGCGTGACAACGACTGCGTCAGAGTATTTTTGGCTTCACCACCTTTGCTCCACCCGAACTCCGATTGGCTTGCCAATTCACTTAACGTGTCCCTTAACTTGCTAAAGTTTCAACCCAGTGAATATGGCGGGCATGAGAACCTTTACACCCTCCGTCGCGTCACAAACGACCATTACGTTGCATGCGTCACGTGATCCAGTCTAAACCGCATTCAGCCAATGTGCATGTGTCATAGCCAGTACCAAAAACAGTAAATGTCACCTGTAACTATAAATTATAAACAACAATTGCCACTTTGTCATATGGCTTTCGATTTATTATTTGCAAAAGTGAGTATGCATTGTTATACAATACACCAGATGATGCCACCAAGTTGTGCCAAGGATATCGATATAATCCTTTATCTAGCATTTAACAAGAAGCATCCAGTAGATACGGAACGTTGGTCCAACCACGTGGCAACGTTGCCCCAACGTTGCATGTTTGCTTGGGATGTAGCATGATCAATTGCAAATACTGTATACCCGGATGTACTGATAGTGTGTTATGTGAACATGTGTGACTGGAAGATATCCAAATTAGTTTTGGAACCCAATGCTATTTTAAATAAACGTGCTGGTGCATTGTTTTATAAAGGAAAATAATTCCGAATTGTGAAATAGTCAATTTCCTCTTGAGCTCAGTTATTTTAACATGCTTAATAATTACCTTGTGTGTATTGTACTGACATTTACAATACATCAGATGATGGCTTTCGATTTATTATTTGCAGCATTTGATAACATTTTGATGAGATGTTAAATCAACAAAACCCTGCAGTGTAGCAATAACAGTTGGGGAGCCGTAAAACCTTCCGCTGTGGCGTGTAATAAATGCAAATATGATTCTTGGATTCGACCGATTTTGTCATGCTACACTCGCATGTCTGTAAATAGTTAAAGGTTTTTTTAAATTTTTTTAAAGCTAAAGACAAATTGAAGAAGTGTGAACAAGTAAACTCTTGAAAAGTGTCCAGTTTCACCAAGTGTAAATGAACTACGCTCTTGTCACCTGAATAATAAAATTGGTTCCTACGGGAACCTTGGACAATAATGGGAAAGGATTTTTTTTGTGAGCTTGTGTCGATTGGCAATGGATGTGAATGAGCATGTCCTATCATCGCTGCGGAGTTGTAGCGGAGCTCCTCTTTAGCGTGTAAACCTTGACGAGCCCCCAGAGCTCTTGGAAGACACCTTGAGAAGAGGCAACCCTGTGGAGCTCTCCACCTTGCACTGGTTCAACGCCTCCTTGTAGGTGAGCCGCTTCTTGGAAATGGGGTCCGTGATGTCTTTCGGGTGGCTTTTGTCATCCTCCAGTGCCCGCTTGGCTTCGTTATCGATTATGCCCAGAGCCAGGGCCTCTCCCACGGGCACGCGGCCGGCCTTGTTGGGGTCTACCAGTCCCCCCGTGAGGAACTGCGCCTCCAGGTACTTGTAGGCTGCGTCTTGATACAGCCAGCCCCTCTTGAGCGCAATGCCCACGGGAAGCCGCTCCTTTGTTGTCGGATCTTCGATTCCGGTGTACGCCTTCTGCGCACCGAGCAGTCGCTGAACGGAGCTGCTGTCGATCAAATTCATGTCCGCAGCCTTGTGCACCGAGTACTTCTCGCCGTTGGCCACGTCGATGATGCCCCCGGTCGCGGCCTGTGCTTCCAGCAGCTTTTGCGCCGTTATCGGATCGATGAGGTTCTTGCTGGTGGCCGTTTTTATCTGCATCTTTTGGTTGGTGTCCACATCGAACACGCCGGCGATAGGCGGCGTCTCGAGGTCCAGGACGGTGAAATCCTTGCTTTGGGCGGGCTCCCTTTGCAAGGAGCTGCTCACCTGGGAGGAATTTGTTTTCTTTACGCCCTCTTCTTTTTCAGGCTGAGGCTTAAAGGTTTGGCCCGACACCTTAGCAGCGAACTCGGCAATGGTCATCTTTCTGTTCTTGTACTGCTGCACGTCTTGTTGCGTGACCTTCCCACTCGCCAGGGCGTCTTCAATGGAGAACTTGGTTCCCGTTTTCTTGTCCCGCAGAGAGGATGATATCCCTTTTGGCCCGGACACGCTCACTTCTTCCCAGTCACACTCCTGCCCTGCCAGCTGACTGTACGTCTTCCAGTCAATGAGGTCGAGTTTGTAGGCTTCGTACGGAGTCATTTCTTTTCCAGTCTCAGGATCCATGACGACGATCTTACGGCTCAGATGAGACTGCGTCTTTTCCGTTGAAGTCCTCGTCACCTCCGGTTGTCTGTTCTCCAATCTGCTAAGCTTGTCACGCAGCGCCACTATCTCGCCCTCTTTGCTGTTTATGACCTTATCGGTGTCTGTGAGTTTTCTCTTGAGCTTTTCGATCTCTGACTGGACATCCGTTATAACCTCCGACTGTTTCTGCAGCTCCCTCTCCTTGTTTCTCCGTATTCTCAACTCATCGTCAAGCTGGCTGCGAAGTTTCTCCAGTTCGCTGTCAACCATCTTGTCTTTCTCTATCTTTACCACTTCTTTATAAACAATCTTTTCCTTGGTGGCCTCAATTTCAAGATCATGCATTCTCGCCTTCATTCGATCCACCTCATCCTCAAGCCTATTGCGCTTTGAGCGCTCGTCGTTCAGTTGAGATCTTAGAAGTACCGCTTCTTTCATAACCTCGGGATCCTGCTCCACTTTCACAACCTCTTTGTAAACCACTTTCTCTTCCACTTTACTTTTCTGCTGCTCCAGAGTTGTCATTCTATTCTTCGTGCGCCTCAGTTCCTGCTCAAGTTCGTTCTTTTCCTGCGAGTCCATTCTCAGTTGCGTGATCAGTTGCTTCTGTTCAGATACCGTGCTGCGAAGCTGTCCCAAATCTTCTTCCAACGATTGCTGCCGTTTCTTCTCTTGATTCAAAGATTTTTTTAGCGAGTCAACTTCACGTTCCAGATTGGGGTCTGTTTTGTACTGGATGGACTCTTGGATAACAACCTTCTCTTCAATCTTCGGGGGCTGGTTTTCCAAGTTAAAGATTTTGTTTTGAAGTTTTGTTAACTGCAGCTCAGCATCGGTTCTCTTTTGCATTTCCCTATCAAGCTCCTTTTTCATGCGTGTCACTTCTTCTTCCGCCGCTGGATTCTTCTCAAACTTAACAGTCTCCTTAAGGACTTCCTTCACTTGAATTTCAGGCTTTCTGTTCTGCAACGTTTTGACTTCTTCACGAAGTTTCAGTGCTTCTCGTTCGGCATTTGAAAGTTGACCTTTAATCTTCATCATCTGCAACCGAAGTTCCGAGGCTTCTTTCTCGGTCTCTGGGTCAGGACGCACAACTTCGCGCAACACTTCCTGGATTTCCACCTTTGGTTTTTCTTTCTCCAGAATGGTATACTGTCTCCGGACACTGACCAGATCCCTCTGAGCATCCCTGTTCTTTTCTATTTCCTCCTCATACATGTGCTTCAATTGCTTCAGCTCTCTTTCCAGCTCTGGATCTCTCTCCAATTTGACGACCTCTTTGATCTGCACGTCGGGCTTGCGATTGCGCAGCGAGTTCAGCTCTATCCTCAGCGTGTTGAGCTCGCCCATCACCGTATCATATCTCTCTTTCTCGGCTGTCAATTTCCGCTTCAAATCGACTGCCTGTCGCTCCGTCTCAGGATCTGCCTTCACCACCTCCTTGACCACTTCTTTGATCTCCACCTTAGGTTTCGTGTTTTCAAGTTTAGTGAGCGATTCTTTGAGGTAGTGGATTTCATCTTCAAACTTCCTGTTTCTACGAGATTCTTCATCCAGAGACTTCGTGAGTTTGCTGATCTCCTTGTCTTGCTCCGGGTCTCGCTGTACCTTTACGACCTCCTTGATTTGCACATCTGGCTTGCGATTGCGTAGCTCGTTCAGGTCTGTGCGTAGGGAGGCCAGTTCTCTCTCCGAATCCTTAAGTTTACGCTTCTCTTGTTCCAGCTGCCGTTTATACTCGGCCGCCTCCTTCTCAGTCTGTGGATCTGCCTTGAGTATTTCATGGACAACTTCTTTGATTTCAACTTTGGGCTTCCGATTCTCAAGCATCAGGATTTTCTGCTGAAGCGAATCATTTTCCTCTTCTGCCATGCTCTTTTTCTTTCTCTCGTTTTCCAGCGTGTTCTTCAGTTTGACGATTTCTCTTTCCTGTTCAGGGTCTCGTTCGACTTTGACCACCTCCTTCACTTGAACCTCGGGCTTCTTGTTTTTGAGGGCGTCAAGCTCTCGCCGAAGCGTGCTCAGGTCTTTCTCCGCTTTGTCCGAGGTGCGCTTCTCGTCCGCCAGCTGTCGCCTCAGCTCAGCCGCTTGCCTCTCCGTCTCAGGGTCTGCTCTCACCACCTCCTTCGTGATCTCTTTTATCTCCACTTTAGGCTTGGTGTTTTCCAGAGTCATGTACTTTTGCTGCAGGAGGTTAATTTCCTTTTGTGAAACTTGATTTCTTTGTATCTCATCTTCCAATTTCCTTTTCAAGCTTACCAGATCTTGCTCCGTTTGTGGATCTTTCTCCACTTTTGTTACCTCTTTTATAACAATGCGCTCCTCTACCTTAGGAGGCGCCTGTTCCACCTCTTTAATCCTCCTTTCAATGAGCACATACTTCTTTTCTGTAGCCTTTCTTGACTCAACCTCATCTTCCAGCTGCTGCTTGACTTTATTAAGTTCTCGGACCACCTCGGGATCTTTCTCTACCTTGACGACCTCCTTTACCTGCACCTCAGGCTTGCGGTTTCTCAAGGCCTCGACATCAATTCTGAGAGCGTCGAGCTCTCGGTCTGCTTTTTCAGACTTGCGCTTCTCTTCGGCCAGCTGTTTCTTCAAATCAGCTGCCTGCCTCTCTGTCTCCGGATCTGCTCTGACCACCTCCTTGATGACTTCTTTGATCTCCACTTTTGGTTTGGTGTTTTCAAGGGTGACAAATTTGTGCTGAATTGTCTGGATCTCTTCCTGAGATACTTTTGATCTTTGAATCTCCTGCTGCAGCTGTTTCCTGAGGCTGACAACCTCTTCTTCTAGTTTTGGGTCCCTTTCCACCTTCGCGACCTCCTTAATGACGAGTCGTTCTTCTATCTTTGGAGGCGCCTGTTCCACCTCTTTAATCCTCCTTTCAATGAGCACATACTTCTTTTCTGTAGCCTTTCTTGACTCCATCTCATCTTCCAGCTGCTGCTTGACTTTATTAAGTTCTCGGACCACCTCGGGATCTTTCTCTACCTTGACGACCTCCTTTACCTGCACCTCAGGCTTACGGTTTCTCAAGGCCTCGACATCAATTCTGAGAGCGTCGAGCTCTCGATCTGCTTTTTCAGACTTGCGCTTCTCTTCGGCCAGCTGTTTCTTCAAATCAGCTGCCTGCCTCTCTGTCTCCGGATCTGCTCTCACAACCTCTTTGATGACTTCTTTGATCTCCACTTTAGGTTTGGTGTTTTCAAGGGTGACAAATTTGTGCTGAATTGTCTGAATCTCTTCTTGGGATATTTTTGATCTTTGAATCTCCTGCTGCAGCTGTTTCCTGAGGCTGACAACCTCTTCTTCCAGTTTTGGGTCTCTTTCCACCTTCGCGACCTCCTTAATGACGAGTCGTTCTTCTATCTTTGGAGGCGCCTGTTCCACCTCTTTAATCCTCCTTTCAATGAGCACATACTTCTTTTCTGTAGCCTTTCTTGACTCCATTTCATCTTCCAGCTGCTGCTTGACTTTATTAAGTTCTCGGACCACCTCGGGATCTTTCTCTACCTTGACGACCTCTTTTACCTGCACCTCAGGCTTGCGGTTTCTCAAGGCCTCGACATCAATTCTGAGAGCGTCGAGCTCTCGGTCTGCTTTTTCAGACTTGCGCTTCTCTTCGGCCAGCTGTTTCTTCAAATCAGCTGCCTGCCTCTCTGTCTCCGGATCTGCTCTCACCACCTCCTTGATGACTTCTTTGAGCTCCACTTTTGGCTTGGTGTTTTCCAGGGCGGTGTATTTTTGTTGAAGTGTCAGAATTTCTTTCTTGGAAACTTTGTTCTTCTCAAATTCTTCATCCAGCATTTGCTTCAAGTTTGCGAGTTCCTTTGTGGTCTGGGGATCAGTCTCCACTTTAAAAACTTCCTTTATAATTGCCTTTTCTTCAACTACAGGTGGCTTCTCTTCAAAATTTTTTATTTTATTTTCTAGCATGTAAACTCTCTTTTCTGCAGATGTCTTCTTACTTATTTCTTCTTCCAGCTGCTGCTGAATAGCACTGAGGTTCCTCATCACTTCAGGATCCTTCTCCAGCTTCACCACCTCCTTGACCTGGACTTCTGGTTTGCGGTTCTGGATCGTCATGAGATCTGTCCGAAGAGTAACCATCTCCTTGTTCATCTGATCATTTTTCTGCCTTTCCATTTCCAGCTGTCTCTTCAAGTCCGCTGCCTGTTTCTCAGTGTTGGGATCTGCCTTCACAACTTCTTTTAAAACTTCTTTAACCTCTACTTTGGGCTTGGTGTTTTCCAGTGTGGAGTATCTTTGCCTCAGCAATCGAAGTTCTTCCTCCGATGCCTTATTCTTTGCGGTTTCCTGCTCCAACATTCTACGTGCTTCTTCCAAGTCTTTTAGTAGAAGTGGATCTTGTTGAATTTTCGGCACTTCCTTGATAGTCACTTGCTTCTCAACCCTTGGCCCTTGCTGTTCTATTTCCTTGATTCTCCTTTCGTACATTACGATGGACTTCTCAGCAGATGACCTTTTGTTTTGCTCTTCTTCGATCTGCCTAGTCATGTCTGCCATCTGATTACGGAGGTCATTAACTTCCCTCTCCTTTGACGGATCCTTCTCCACCTTCGAAACCTCCTTGATGATGACCTTCTGTGCCGCCTCCTGCATTGCCCGTTCCGACTTCTGAAGTCGGTCCCTCAAGAGGCGCAGCTCCTCGTCCTTTGCCTCCTTGTTCTGGGCCTCCTGTTGGAGCTGCTGGCGCAGGAAGATTGCCTCTTGCTCCGCAGCGGGGTCTTTTGCTGGCGTCGCCGCCTTCTGTTGTGCGACGTCAAGCTGCCTTTTCAGCGACTCCATGTCCTTTTCTAGCACCAGCCTCTTCTTCTTTTCTTCCTCTATCAGCTCCAAGTCATGTTTGCTTGGGCCCGAATATTGGGACTTCTGCAGGTTCTGTTGGGACATCCTCGCCTGCACCTCCTGCACTGGAGGATTCTGTTGAAGAAAGTAAAAAAAACCGGAGAGAGCATGAGAAAAGGGTTTAACGAGAGCATAATAAGAGAGAAGAAGTATATTCCAAATAATGTGCTCTCATAGAATTGCCAATGTTCAAAAGTAAATTCGTCGTCAGCCAAAAATATATTTAATGGAAATTCTCATGGCTGTAGAAAAAAAAAATCTCTCCTCGTGCGATGTTGGCAATAGGGGGTTGTTTGACCAAATTAATGTGAGCCATGTCTGGGAATCAAACTCAGGTAGCCAGGTTCGTCGCGAATCCAGAGTTCACGATCTGCGTTTGAGCGGTCATTGGTGAATGAGACGAGATCTCAAGTTTCCTTGCCGGATTATTGGAAACTACCCAATGCCAGTGTGGCATGGCAAGGCACACATTCGTGAAACTGCCTGCATTCACCATCAAATGCAACCAATATATTTATAATTGCTTACAATTACACGTTAGGAAATGAACAATATCTGCACGCAACCTCACCTTCACGATGTTCTGCATGTTTTGCAGATAGACGATCTGTTGCTGATTTGCAGCAGAAACTTCAGCAAATTTCTTGACGAGTTGTCTCTCCTAAAAAAACAAGAGAGGAAATTTCAATTTGCAATCTTGAACACGCGTATTTTAATTTATAAATTTTGACTATGCCACGCAGCATCTATTTTCTAATGCTTTATGTTTGATTGATATTATTTAAACTAGTTCATGGTTTATTAAAACTATATCAACTTAAGAGAGTTGACTTTTTTTGGAACAATGCTATATTTGCCAGATGTGATTTTGCTTATTAGAACTAGGGGTGTGATGATGCACTATCGTCGCAAGTAGCTGACATTTTAATGATTCAGGGCCACGATTCAATTTGAGATTAAATGATTATTTTCAATCTTGATTTTAAGCTTTCGTGACTGCAGGAATCCATACTCTTTGGTTCTTTCGGTAAAGTCACGTAGGTAGAAAAATAAAATAAAACAAATAATATTTTCAACAGTGTTTACCATCTTGTTTGTATTGCTTCTCATTTTATTTGGTTTTGTTTCCACGTATGTTGAACTTCTTTTGCACCATACATAGCCAACCATGCTCACCGTAGGTGCGGGGGAAGGACAACAAACTAAACACAAAAAGCAGTTTTAAAGAAATGAGTTTTCAACCTAGATTTAAAAGTACATAGCTCCAGTGGCTTCCTAATATCAAATGTTTGCTCCATTAGCCTAAGTGTAGTCGTTTGCATGTAGTTATCATGTTGGGTTGCCACAGGGTCCTGGTATTCCGAGGATATTTTCTCTTTCACGTAGCTTTCCTGTATAAAATCTGTGGCTCTTCCTGGGACGTTAAAAGTTTTTGTCGGATCCATAATAATGCACCACCTCAAGATGGTGCAGTTGTATGTACTTCTTTATTGGAAGGGCAACATATATTCTTCTTCCCTTGTTATGTCCTAGTTTGTTTCGTACCCAGGGGTGGCCGACCCTATGCGCATTTCAAATGCAAATCATTACAAAAGCATTCTTGTGCGCACGATGAAAAAGGCACGCATCGCAAGCCTTAAGAAGAATCAACGTTCTGGGAAAGTTAAAGACCGCCCCGGTCTCCAACATTGGACTCACCTCGTCCTGCACCTGCCGCGTGGGAGAGGATTTGTTCGTGTCCCAGTTCACGCCGTTCACCAGCTCCGGCTCCACCAGCGTCCGGTAGCGATCGCTCGCTGTCTCGTAGTTCTGAAGGTGGCAGATGGGGAGGGGAGACAGCGGAAGTTTGTGACTCACAAGTTTGACTACGTCCGTAAAATATTCAAACATTTAAAGGCCAGCTTCACACCTTCACGAAGGGATTACCATTTAGTGATTTGCCCCGGAATATTATGGATTTTTGTTGTTGATGCGCCCTAATTTGTTTGTTTTGGTGATCAGACAGCGCGACCATTAACTCTCTACAATTGAGAAGCCGGTTTTATTCATGGGTCACTGCCTGGATTCCAGGATTGTGGTTGTGCTGGTTTAATATCCTGGACCTTTGAGCCAGCCTCCCACTGTTATGTCAAGTAAAAAAAACACATGGACACAGAATGAGGAGTATGGGTAAATCAGACATCCTGATGGATATATATATATAAAGTGGTATAAGAGCTATAAGAAAAAAAACCCAAACATTAAAATTGAGGAAAGCAGTAGAGAACTGGCATAGAAATATAACCGTGGCTGAAAGTTATTTGGGTCACATCATCACTATGAGCCGATGGAAGGGACAGACGATGAAAATGCAATTCTACTTTTTGTCCTATGAAGTGGGCTTTAATAAAAGGTCTTACCCGGACCGTTGACTGATAATCGTTCGCCAGCTGTTCCACTTTGTTCTTCTCGGTTTCCTTTCTACGCAGCTCGTCCGCCAATCTCTGCAACGACGCGTACACGCACGACGACTTTAATACAAGACACAGAAATACGAAACGTGGCAGACGAGTGCCTTGACATGTATTCATCCATGTCCTAAATTATCCATTGAAGTGATGAACCAACGACGTGAACAGGAACAAACTGGGGGGGAGCTTTGGGAAAAAGTTGAAGTCGTTTACGAAGAGCAGGAATACCAGCGTTTTAAATCAAACGCGCATTTCCTGCAGCAACAACGATAATTATAAACATGGGCGGCATTGTCAACAAGGTCTGAAAAGTGTGCCAAGTATGGAGAGAGATGCATCCTCGGAGTTACACAACTGCGCCTGGGTCGCACCGGTGCATATTAAATGAAGAGACACGACCGGTACCTTTTGATCGGCGATCTTGGCATTGATGGATTCCACGGTCTCATTCTGTGACACACTTGGTTTAGGCACATTGTCCAGCCAGCTGTTGAGATTGTCATAGGTGCCCCGGTAATTAGAGTAGGCCTTCTCCGCATTGTCCAGCTCCTTCAGTCTGGTACACACACACACACAAAACCCAACGTCTGAGCAGCCGCTTTCGCAAGCAACAAACACCGGACTCTCCGATTGGAGATTTTTGGGGGTTTGCGCTGCGGCGGGTCGTTGGACACGACGTCCGACGTTTCGCTCCCACCTGCTGCGAGCCGATTTAAAAAAAACAAAATGTGTTCGCGTCTCCTCTGAAGAAGCCCCCCACGGGCGTGTGCGGGCAAATACGTCGGGTGTTGGGACCGTACGGCGCGCGGTACGACATCGAAAAACGCATCGGAGAGCTACGCCTCGCAGACTCCGAAAATCGTACGCAGCAACACAGCAGCAGGACCACCGCCAAGGTGAACACCGTTCAGGAAAGGGGGGCGGGAGGGCGGGTTGCCTCACCTGAGATTCGTCTGGTCCCCCATGTTGCCAAAGCGCTGGCGCAGTCGGTTCACCTCGCTCTCTTGGCGCTCCACGTCGGGGCAGCGCTCGTTGAAGTTCCGGGCGACGTTCTGGCAGTGCTGCTGGGTGCTCTGCAGGTTCCTCGCCGGCTCCTCCAACACCAGCGCCTTCTTGGCGCCGATATCTTTCTTGACGGCCTGCGCGGGCCGGACACGTCTGGCTGGTTGAACTTTGCCGGCGGTTCGAGGAGCCATGCATTGTGTGCGTGCGATGTCTCGGGCCTCAACCCCTATCGTCAAGAGTTTCGTCGAGGAAGTGAACCGACGGGACGGCATGGCTCAGGTTTTCAAGCAGGCGCTCCGTATACTGCTCTTTGTTTTACTATTTTATTCTACCAGGTAAAGCCCACTGTGGCACGAGCTCTTTTTCAGAAGCGGCCTGGCCACAAAGCTTTGCTCAACAAAGTGGCTCACGTGGAGAGAGACATGCAAACTCCGAATATACAGGCGTCGTCTAGGTCGGGATTGAACCCACGATCTCCTGTATACCAGGCGAGGGATATAACATCCCGCCACTGCCACACCCCATCGGTTTATGGAGTTTTGCGCACGCGGAAGTGTAGCGGTGGCCTAAGTTCGATTCCCACTCACGGCCAACACCGGTGACGATTATCCGAACCGGTCCTGGGCCTCCCCTAGGTCGACTCAGCCTCAAATGAATACTTGGTGGGATGTGTTCACATCGTCACTGGCGAGACAAAGGGCTGACCAGGCGTGCTGCTGGCCACCCACGTCCTCGTGTACCGTTCCGGCCTTCATAATTGCTGCTCGCTTACAGCACTTGCCCCAACGGTATGTTAAGGCTATAAGAGGTGGGGGGGGGGGGGTGGGGGGGAATATTTGTCTCTGTATCCGGGGTCACCTCCAGCTCCTTGCGGCGCGCGCGGATGCCCGCCAGGTCCGTGGGGATGCTCTGCTCCAGCGCGAGGGAGCGCTCCAGGGGGGCGATGGCACCTTCCGCCTTCTGCAGAGACACCTCCATGCTCGACGCAGCCTTGGCTCTGGGGAGCGGGCAAAGAGAGGTGCGGCATTGAATGAATAAGGCCCTCGCTTGCGGGAATTTTTTATTTTTTACAGCTCTCGACTTGTAGCTACCTACCCGGTGCCCCGTGGATTGTCGGACGCGAGCGTTAAGCTTCGTTGGCGAGGAAAAAAGGAACAAAAAGAGAGACTAAAATCACGGTTCGGTGAATTTTCAGTGTTCTGCGCCGCACGTCACTTCGTACGAAAGTGACACCACAGCGACAACCACCAGGGTATCGCAATGCCAGGCTTGGTCATTTATCTTTAAATGTAGTAGCTGTTCATTTTGCATCCTCCTTGGGTGTTGATGTCGCTAAGCAACCGAACGACAGTGGCCACTTCGGGGTCACAGCGCAGCTGCGCAAACCGTTACCCCACCGCTAACACCCGCTTATTTATTCGCGTGTGGACGAGCAGTGTGCGGTGCACGGTGGGAGGGGTGGGTGGTGGTGGTGGTGAGATCTCACTTGTCTCCGTAGTTGTTGGCCAGCAAGGAGACCCGTGTGTACTTGGCGTCGGTCTCGTCCAGCTTCTGCCGCAGCTTGGGGGCGCTCGGGCACTTGGGCTTGCGCGAGAGGAAGGCCTCGGCGGACTTTTGTACCTTGGCCTTCTCCGTGTTGAGCACCTGCAGCCTCTTGAGGATGGCCTGCGTTGTGCGCCATCGTCAACATCACCGTCAGCATCATCATCATCATCAGAAGCAGCAATAGTGGGTGCAGCAACATCACCCATCATCATGAGCAGCAGAAGCATTTTTTTTTATTGTTGAGCCTTGTTGCCATTATTAGTAGCAGCAGCAGCAGCAGCAGCATTATGACATCATCGTCTTCATGAGCATCAGCATCAGCAGCAGTGTCTTTAGCCACTATCACCAACGTCATCATCGGCACCATCATCAAAGATAATTCACACACGATTCAGCAGCATCGTCGTCATTAATAGTCAGCATAATAAATAAAACTCTCAAAAAATGTTTGCGGATGCTTGCGCTCCCGTGATGCGCTTGCAAATTGAAAATGTTCACGGAAGACTGGAGGTACTTACGAGATAAAATGATAATGCAAAGGTGTACAAAGGTGGAGGCTGTACAAAAAGGTCTCGTTTAATTATGGACAAGACATCAATGATGCTCTTGGCAGTATAAACATGATGATATTGTACGCGTTTCCCCCCCTGTAAAGCTCCGCACGTTCGCAACGGTGTTGGGTGCCACCCATCGATCGTATTGCCCTCTTGACCTCAGCGTGGATCGCTTGGATTTGCGCGCCGTTGCCAAATATATATTTTAAAAAATCACTCTGGGAGCATTTCGGCTTGTGTGGCGTCATCGGTAAGCGCGCGGGCGAAGTCGGCGAGCGAGGCAGAAAGCATCGCCGGCGGAAAATTTAGCGGAAAAGAATAACTGAAGAAGGCGCTCACGTCCTGCTCGCGTAGCCGAGAGGCGCCGTCCTCGGCCGGCCGGTTCTTGTCGAGTGGCGTGCGAAGTTTGACCAGCATCTGCTGCTCCTGGTCATCGAGCTCGTAGTAGATGCGCTCCAGGTCGGAGATGTGCTTGACGCATTCCCTCTCCTCCGAGTTGTCTGCCGCCAGAACTGGTGTGGGGGACGCACGCACGCAGGGGCCATCACGTACTTATTCATCGTGTGCGTTTTTAAAGCAAAATGACATCGTGGCCGCTGAGCACAGGCACCGAAAGGGCCCAAGACGGGAAGTGGCCGAGCGTGTCGGCGTTGACGGTAAACGTACCGACGATTGCGTTGCGCAAAACTCTACAGAACTCTACACCAATCACATTAATTTCTACTAACGATGTCCCCAACCGACCCCTCATTTCCATTGAGTTTTTTCCTGACGGCCAATCCGATTTGAATGACTCTCCACCCTGAAATCCGATTGGGCGTGCCCGCTACGTCGCCTCCCACGTGATAGCTCCTGGCCAACGAGAGTCCAGCGCCGCTATTCGAACTCACGAGGGAGCCATTAAGACTCGGCGAGTGTATAGGTAGTTATTTATTTATTTCCGAACAGTGCTTGCCTCTCGGCATCCCTTACCAGGGGTGAATTTTTTATTACTATAATTACCTTCATTAAAACACAGATCAGGAAATTACTCAATTCAGGTACCACCCTGAACCCCCCTTCTCTCCCTCCGTAAGCATCACCGCCGACACGCCGAAGGATTTCCTCGGAGCCGTACCTTGGCCGGCCTGCTGCTTGACGTCGCCCGCGCGTTTCCGCAGCGCCGCCTCCGTCTCCCGGCGCTTCTGCTTGAGCTCGCTGAACTGCGTGGAGATCCTGCGCAGCGGCGAAAACGAGCGGGCGCCTTCGTGACAAACTCGGGGGGTCGCGCACGTGCGCGCGTGGAGCGACGTAGAGCCTGCGCAGGACTTTGTGTCCCACGTGACGCGCATCAGGCGTCAAGGCTGCACGAGGGGCCGGCAACCTGCGGCTCCGGAGCTGCTTCCGGCTGCTCAAGAACCCCTTCGTGACATTATTCACATTGCGGGGACTTCTTGTTTTGACCGATTTCGAAAAAGAAACTGCTATTTTTGTTATTTTGGTTGCCGACCCCTGGGCTACGCATTGGGGGGTAAGTGGAATAGGTGGGGGTGGGGGGCACGGTGGAGGGGGGGGGGATCGTTGCCTCCGTGGTAACGCACCCGTCGACCAGCGCGATCGAGTCGGGGTCCGTGGGGGGGATGACGAAGCAGGCGCTCGGCACCGTCTCCGTCTTGCCGGCCGAGTTGGACACCACCCAGTTCTCCTTGTCGCTGTTGTCCTTCAGCGTGTACTTGTCACCGCGGTGCAGGACCAGCTGCGGAGAACGCACGCAAGCGCCGAGCTCGTTACGCTCGACGGGACGGCACCTCCCTGGCGTCCGCAGCCGAACGCACGCAACAGGCGGGGGAGGAGTACGTCGGATTATTACGCCTCGGCGGGAGCCCCAAATCGAGATCGCGTTGAGAGCCACTTTGACAGGACCGTCATCAATTTTGGGTGACCGGACCGTACTTGGCCACCGTGTTGGCTACGCCCACAAGCACCCCAATGTGTCGCAGAGCTCCCGCGTTACGAAAACTTCAGGAACCCCTCCGGCTGCGTTTCGCACTCGGTGAGCAAACGACGGTGTCCCGAGTCGGATGCGGCGCGGAGGTCCCGCGCTGCACTCACTTCCCCATCCTCGTAGTCGCACAGCGTCTCCACAGTCAGCGGCTTGGGGATCTTCTCGCGGCGATACTTGAGGGGCACCATTTGAGTGGCCCGGTTCTTCAGCGCCACCACGTTCTTCTCGTAGGCGTCCATCTCTTTTTCCTTCTCCTGCAAAAGGCGGAGGGGGCAGCGGAGACGCGTTGCACGATAAGCCGCAGGCACGCGGGTGGCCGTTTTCACAACAACAAAAACCCAACACAAACGGAACTCTATTTCCTTGCATCCACATATATCAATCAGTCTGAGGGCTTTGCAGACTTTATGCTATCCAGCAGGATTTGTTTAAGCAAGGAAGCAAGCGAGCTCTGGGCCGGCTTTGACCTTCCGGGTGTCATCGGCAGTCTGGCTCGTCACCCGGAAGGTTTGTTGGCATGCGAAACTGACACTTGGGGGCCTGCGCTGAAAGTTTGCTGCCATTTTTGTTGTTGTTTCCCATTGTCATTGTTATTCCCATTGTCATTGTTATTACCGTGACAAAGGCAATGATAATAATGACAAAAAGGCGGCGAGATGTATGAACGTTCATGGCACTGTGCTCGCATCACACCGGGCAGGCTCAGGGTTTTTACTCAGACCCCGGGAGGTGTGGAAGCAAGGCGCTTTCAGATGCGCTTTCAGATGCGCTTTCAGATGCGCTTTTGCAACCGTCTTGAACACTCTCTTTCTTCCGATATTAGGAAGCCACTGGAGCTATGCACTTTTAAATCATCTAGATTGATAAAACTCATGTCTTTCGAACTGCTTTTTGTGTTTAGTTTGTTGTCCTTCCCCCGCACCTCCGAATAGCACAGTTGGCTACGTACGGTGCGCAAGAAGTTCAACATACACACGCACATTTGATCACTGCAGTAACGTAGTGGAAATCACTGTTGGCAAATGTTATCCGTCGTGTCTGGTTGCAGGTGATACCTTCGACCCCCACTTCAGCATCAATAATGCCGTGTCAAACATCATCTGCTCAATGGTGATTGGGAACCGCTTTGACTACGACGACAAGCGTTTCCGCTACCTTCTGCACCTCTTCGCTGAGAACTTCAGGATCGAAGGCGGCTGGAGAGGGAAGGCAAGCAGGAGTTGAATCTTCAACAAGCGTTCGCTTATAAGGCTTTTATTTTAAAGTCTTTTCTGTGCTGGTCCAGTCTAGTCGGGCCCTGAGGAGGCGCCGGGTTGCTTTTTGCACAACCCCCCGAAGGTTGGGTGGGGGGGGGGGGGGCGCGTGAAGGTGGCATGGCCCTGCTGGGCACTGCACTCACCTGCACCTCCTTGAGCAGCTCCTCGACTCTCAGGGCGCTGTCGTTGGGGTCGACCGTGTAGCGCCGTTTCATGTCCGCCGACTGCTTGGTCAGCCACTCGTTTGACTCCTTCACGTCCTTGTTGAACTGAAACGGAACGACAAAGCGCGGTGTCTCTCCCTCTGCCGGCGAGGCCTCTTCATCGCACTCTTGATGGTACCAGATGTGAAGGAGTCCTAGCCCGAGTGAGCCTTGAACTCTGTCTCTAATCCCCATTAATTTATCCTCACGGTCTCCCAACCGACCCCTCAATCCCATTTAGTGTTGTTCCCCGATGACCAATCGGCTTTGAATGTCTCTCCACCTTCAATTCCGGTTGGGCGTGCCCCCTACATCGGCTCCTCCCCCCCATGATAGTTCCTGGCCAATGAGAGGCGAGCACCGTTATTCGAACTCCCGAGGAGCTGTGAGAGCCAGCGAGTGTTTATTTATTTCCGAGCATGGCTTGCCTATCGGCATCCCATACCACAGGTATATTTAAAATGTTTTTTTTTTATTATCGTCATTAAAACATTGCAATGAAACGTCGGTTCATCTCTGCGTCAACCGAGTTTGTTCGGCGTGTCTACCCAAATGCCGTAGGACGTTCAGTAAATTTGCACGTGCGCGTGTTTGTACCATCGTGTGCTCACCCACAAGGATGCCTACCTTGTGGTGCTCGGTCATGAACTTGAGGTGAGCCTCCTCGCAGATGAGGAGGTTGAGGTATCTCTTCCAGTCGTTCTCCACTGCGTCCATGTGGGCCTGCACACCACCACACCAACCAAACATCATCGCATCGCATCGTACCACACACATCACATGCCACGAAGACAATGATCACCCTCCCCCCCCTCCAGAAGCCTTCACAGGACTGTCAGGTCAAGTGCTGTTAGCGAGCAGCACCTACAAAGGCCGGAACGGCACACCCCGACCGCCTTTGAGGCGAGGGGGAGGAAAGAGGATAGGGCGATTGGAGAAGAGGTGGTGAGGCATTAGGAGAGGAACGGAAGGAGGTTAAGGAGGGGGACTTCTTTATGTACGTTTGTCGAACTTCTTTCGCACCCTACGTATTCAACCGTCGTGCCCGACTTTCATCAGCAAATCATCACGGTGCGCCCTCTCCGGTCAGACCCCCTCGTCCGTTACCGCTCACCTCGATCGTCGGCTTCGCCGGGTGTTTGGCCGCAAGCAGCTTCTCGCCCTCGTCTTGGATCTGGTTGATGGACGCCTCCTTGGCCACGAGCTCGTTGTTGACGATGTTCTGCACGTCGGCACCGTTTTGACAGGTTAGGGGCGGGGGTGGGGGCGGGGGGGCGTTTCCTGTTTCACAGCCGGGAGCCGGCGTGGTGGCAATTGTTTTGATTGCGAGCCACGCACTCCCAACCGCTGCGCTGTACGGCCAGGCCGAACGCATTCACGCGAGCGACAAACAACAAAAACAACGACGGCAACCGCACCTCACGATGCTCGTCCGGCCAGGAATACACGGCAGAGAGAGGAGCGAGATAGAGAGATGAGCGAGATAGAGAGATGAGCGAGATAGAGAGAGAGCTACGCTGCGAGCGCGGCCCGGGGCCAACCAACCGGGACCCAGGACCAACGACGACGGACGAGCCCCGGGGCACCGACGGCTCTGCTCGGTGTCGCGGCAGCGGGAGGAGGAGGAAGAGGAGCGCAGGACGACGACGTACCTCATACTTCCGGGTGCGCACGTCATAGTCGAGGTTGCGGTCGCTCCAGTCCATGCCCTTGCGCTCCTCCTGCTCCGAGTCCAGCCACATGAGCTCGCGAGTGCAGCGCTGCATGTACGTGTGCAGTTCGTTCAGGTCCTTCTGCCGCTTGGTGGACGAGGTCTGGGAACAAACAGGGGGGCGGGGGGGGCCGTGTGGCACCGTCGTGACGAGCGGCTCTGCCGAGTATTTTAGCGTCGTGTGGGGGGGGGGGCGGGGGGGGGAGGAGGGATGAGGGGAGGGGGCGGTGGGGGGGTCCCTGCGTTGCTGCGCAGCGGTCGACGTTTTTGCTCTTCGCGCTCGGGAAACCCAACGAAAGTTCGACGCGGAAAACGCATCGCAGAGGAACACAGCACAGGCACCAAAACCTACAATGGTAGTAACCGTTCCACCTTAAATTAGTGACCGCTAAATTAATAGGAAGGGAGGGGTCCGTTTCAATGCCCGAAATTTCTCAACTGCTGGACGAGGCTCTGGACGAGTTTCTGGACGAGGCTCTGGACGAGGCTCTGGACGAGGCTCTGGACGAGGCTCTGGACGAGGCTCTGGACGAGGCTCTGGACGAGGCTCTGGACGAGGCTCTGGACGAGGCTCTGGACGAGGCTCTGGACGAGGCTCTGGACGAGGCTCTGGACGAGGCTCTGGACGAGGCTCTGGACGAGGCTCTGGACGAGGCTCTGGACGAGGCTCTGGACGAGGCTCTGGACGAGGCTCTGGACGAGGCTCTGGACGAGGCTCTGGATGAGGCTCTGGACCAGGCTCTGGACCAGGCTCTGGACCAGGCTCTGGACCAGGCTCTGGACCAGGCTCTGGACCAGGCCATTCAACAACTTGAACTTTCATCCCGTGAGATGTGTGTGGGGTTCTCATTTTGTACCAATATCTCCCAAGCTTTCGCGTGTACGAATATCCACCTGCCGGCAGGCAATTCATAAATACAGCCACGCTGCCCGTAGTATTATGACCCTATAGAGCACACATCTCTGCAGAAGATTAAAACGATTATTCGTCAGGCACATTGTGGCCTTTCACTCATGTCAAATTCAGTTTATATTTAGAAAAAAATCACTTCATCCTGCATATTATTTTTTGACCATCGGGCAATTGCGATCCCAAGTCGTGATAAACTATCGCCATTGGGGTACCCACATTTCGGCGGCGTTTTAACGTCCCTCCACCGCGCGCTCGGTTCCCACGAGACACAATCGCCGCGTGTGTGCGCGCGCGAGCACGCACGCACGCACGCACGTGCAGGGTCGCTGATATGTTTGCTTTAAAGCAGACAGCAGCAAGAATGATGTCCGTGTGGAGCACTTGAGGAATGTGCGGAAGGCACCCGCGCCCGTTGGGTGACGCGCGCGGGTGCGTCAGCGTGCGGTGCGGTGCCACTGACCAGCAAGGTGGCGTACTCCTCGTTCAGCCTGCGCAGGTACTCCTGCCAACAACACGCGCGGGTCATAACGTCAGCAGCTGCCACCGACAAAAATTCCCAAAGCCTTTTTTTTTACTCGTGAGAAAAAGAAAAAAACCGCACACACACACACACACCGACACTTAGCGCGCGTGTAAGAATGTGGTCAGGTAGGCCAGAGATGATCGGCCATCTCGGCATTGGTGCTCGTAATTACGGGGTCTCCTTCGGCCGCCTTGACGTGCGGCCCGTAAGCCTCGATCTCCTTGTGGATGATGTTGTGTTCGGCCATCTGCATCTCCACGGTCACCAGGTCCGATCCAAAGCCTTTCCGGTTGAGCGAGTACTGCAGGCAAAGACAAATATCCCCCCCCCCGTAGCGTTAGCAGACTGTTGGGGGCAAGTGCCGTTAGCGAGTAGCACCTATGAATGCCGGCAAGGCACACGAGGGGGTGGGTGGCCAGCAACATGCCCGGCTGCCTTTGTCTCCCCAGTGGCGATGTTTTTACACACGGTACCAGGTTCTCATTTGAGGCCGATTCGATCGAGCGGCGGCCCAGGACCAGTTCAGATAATCGTCACTGGTGTTGGCCACGATCTGGAATCGAACACGGGTCTCCAGGTTCGGAGAAAAATGTGCTAACTGCTACATTACCACTTCCCATCCACACCCACAGAGCGGTGTATACTCCAGTGCTATGGTGGCTCGCTAACAAATAAAAAAGGGTAGAAAATGGATATCTTCTTAACGCTTCTTCGAAATTTTTACAAAAAAAACTCGAATCATGTGCAAACGTGAACTCTAAAAACTCGCGAACCGGTGCAAAATATTCTTTGAATATTGTCACAAGAGCTCACGGGGATACCCGATGCATTACGGGCCACGTTTGCTTGTGCCGCACACGGCACAATAATCGTATGCAGTTTCTTTTTGCAAAATGCATTTACACGCGTGGCTGCTCGCAAAATTACACAGACGCTGCATAGGTAATGTACATAGTTACACAGCGATAAACTATTCGGGGGGGGGGCGTTGTTAGCGCAGCGCGGTTAGCTCACTGCGTATTACAGTGGCGAACAAATATTTTGTAATCATTCATGGGCGCTCCCATCACCAGCACGGTGAAGTATGGTCAAACGAGTCAACATAACCGACAACCGCATAGGGAAGCCTTCTGTCCGCTATCGATTAACTAAAGGCTTAAATATTGTTTTTAATTATTGCGACATATAAATGGGTACGAATGTAATATTTAAAGGCACGTTGCATAAACCCAATAAACGTGCAACGCTGGGGCAACGTCAGCACGAGGTTGGAACGGTTGCACCAACGTCGGCCCAACGTTCCGCGTTGACTGGGGATAGGCATCACGGGATACTTGCGACGGCGTCCGCTGCATACAAATCGGCCCTCCCGTGTTTGCCTCGGCAATTAAACAACGCTCCCCCGCAGCAAACATGAACGTCGCAAAACGTCTGCACGGCTGCTGTGTGGGCACAGCCGGGCACAGCCGGGCACAGCCGGGCACAGCCGGGCACAGCCGGGCTTGCAGGGCAGCCGAGCTCTAGGAGACCACGGACCCGTGCACCTTCACGGCAATTCCTCGCTGAACGCGCCGTCGTGTTTACACAACGTGTTTTCGCGATAACGTGGCTCTTTCACTCGGGAAAAATGAACAGACCGGTCGGGGCAAGTGCTGTTTGCGAGTAGCACCTATGAAGGCCAGCATGGCACACGAGGGCGTGGGTGGCCAACACCATGCCCGGCCGCCTTTGTCTCCCCAGTGACAACGTTCACACACCGTACCAGGTACTCATTTGAGGCCCAGTACCGATTCAGATAATTGTCACCGGTGTTGGTGGCCGTGAGTGGGAATGGAACTTGGGTCGCCGGATTCTTGGGGCGGAGCGCTAACCGCTACACCACCGCTCCGTACGCACACACACACGCGCACGCACACACGCACGCACGCACACACACACGCACGCACACACGTACGCACGCACACGCGAGGAATGAGCAAGCGTCGAGGCAGACTTACCCGCTTTTCTCCCACCATCTTGAGCCAGTCGACCTGCGGGCGCATGTTGGGGATGTTCACCTGCTCGTACACCTGGCGGTACTCGGCGCAGAGCTTCGACCAGCGGTCGTGCAGTTGGTGGATGCTGAGGGAGAAAGGCGCCGGCAGGCACGTCCAGGACCACCGTTAGTTAACACCGGGGCCTCGTTGTAGCCGACTCGGTCCTGAGTCGGTACAAGGCACGAGGCGGTGAGCACGAGGCATGAGGCGGTGAGGAAGAGGCACGTGGCGGTGAGGAAGAGGCACGAGGCGGTGAGCACGTGGTACGAGGCGGTGAGCACGTGGTACGAGGTGGTGAGCACGTGGTACGAGGCGGTGAGGAAGAGGCACGTGGCGGTGAGCACGTGGTACGAGGCGGTGAGCACGTGGTACGAGGCGGTGAGGAAGAGGCACGTGGCGGTGAGCACGTGGTACGAGGCGGTGAGCACGTGGTACGAGGCGGTGAGCACGTGGTACGAGGCGGTGAGCACGAGTGAGGTGGCGAGCACGAGGTGGTGCTGTGCCTTCCCGGCGGCTCTCACTCTTTGTTGATCATCTCGCCCTGCGGGTGCTTGAGCTGCTTCACTTGCTCCGAGTCGAGGAAGAGGTCCTTGAGGGTGCCCTCGGCTCGGCTGAGGTTCTCGGCATTTTTCGCGCGGTATTGGAATTCCCGGCCGTTTTCCAGATTCTTGATGTCCTATGGAACCAAATCGAGAAAAACAGGGGAGATGTTAATACAGCAACTACATGATGGAACGATGCTTGGCAGTTGTACACAAGCGCACATGAAACAAATGATCACATTTGTCATTAACGACGCCTTATTGCAGAACAGTACACGATTGGCACGTGTTTATTTTTCAGTGTACGGCCCTTCTTCACGACAGAGAAGGACCACGCTTCACTTCATGAATTATATTTGTGTTGCGAGGCAGTTGTATTACTATCAAGGGGGGGAATACTTGCATACTTTGAAACTTCTGCCACAAGCAGATCGCGTGGGGCAACGCGAGCTATGAATCGGGAGGCTTCCGCTTCAAAACAAACGACAGCAGAGAGGCAGCCCCTTCGCGCTACGCGCGTAACCAGCCAGAGCTATCGGAGTTCGAGGAGCCCCCGTTAAAGACAATTTGCCCGCGGTGTACTGAGAAACGACCGACCCAACAGCATTGCGAACAGTCCTTGGGTGCTGGCGGTGGCGAGGGGGGAAGAGGACCCTGCTGCTTACAATGGCGAGCTTGTCCTCCGTGTCGATGATGTCCTTCTCCACTTGGTCGGCATTCTTCTGCAGTCGGCTGATGAGGATGGCCAACTCGTTAGCCTGGGCCCTGTGGGACACAAGCAGACGTTGGTGCTGGGAAACCGAGGGCACTCGTGGGCGAGCTGCGTTTGTCGTTCAAGCCGCCAGGCATCAGCTTGTAGCCGAAATACATTTTTATGTATTTCTTTATTAAACAATTTTTTTTTTCATCTTACCAGGTAAAGTCCACTGAGCTACATAGCTCTTTTTCAGAAGCGACCTGGCCATAAATGATAACTCAACGATGTGGCGGCTTATCATCGCGTGGACATTTATAGCAGCCAGCGTGGAGCGAGAAACCGGAGAGAGACATGCAAACTCGAAATATACAGCAGCAGGCATCTGCATCGGGATCAAACCCACGGCCCGGTTCAGGGCATGAAAACAAACTACAGTAAAAGATGAATTGTAATTCATCATCATTATAAGTATACAACTGAAGTGTTTACACAAAGCGTTATTTAATTAATGTGGATTTAATATGTTTCTCGACGGGGACAGAGAGGAGGGGAAGCCTCATTATGTTTACCCCGACTTCTCCACACGTTCGCACATCATAATGGGAGCTGTTGTAGGAAGCTGTAGGTGTGTCTGCCGAGGGGAGTGGTGGCACGGAATGTTCTAAGAATGATTGCAGGGTCACCAAGGCAGGGTGTGCGTAGTGAAGGAGCCCGATCATAATGCAACTGCAGTACAGGAAGTAATAATAATAACTAACACATTATGAAAAATAAGAATAGTTTTCACCACTTCTGACAAAACAGGAGTTGTGTTAAGACGTTCAAACACCAAATAGAAACCTTTTTCAAGGAATCGAGGACTGCATGAACCACGCACATTACTTGTGGTGGACATGCAAACATGGTTCTGATACTATATGGAATTGTCTTTGAAACCGATTGGTCTACCCCAGAGACAGCGGCCTTCTTCAAGGCCGAGTCTCACCACCAGCGTCAGACCAGAGAACGACGGCAAAAGGCGACCGGCACAAGGACAATGCCACTATCAGAGCATTTAGAGCTCGGGGTGAGCAGCTACATCACGGGACACCTTTTTGCCAGGATCACACATTATGCCCTTTCTCGATCTGTGGAAACCTCAGAGTCACAAAGTTACATAAAGTGTTTGGCGATGCTGCGTTGGCTGCGGTGCAAAAGTGCAGTTAACAAAAAAAACCCTCGCATTCGTCAATAACGCTGTTGAAAAAAAAATACAATATATAAGCGACGTTTCTGACAGGCCATTACCCGAAATGTCGCCTATTACACACACAGTGTATATGGTTTCTTTTATTCTAAGGCCACAGTCTTATTGATGAACGCGTTGAGCATTTTTGAGTCTCCAAAGGCTGTTGTAGGAGGGCCCACCGTTGGGTTGTTGGGCCAACTCCAAATCCACGGCAATTGTGTGGCAAAGCCCGAGTTGTTGGAAGAGAGACGCACCACAGCGGTGCCATTATAAATCACGCTTTTTTTGCGCTATTTTCCACTAAGCTCTTGTTCATTATTATTATAAAATCATTGAGGAAATATGAATGCATGGCACTCTGATAAAACACTGCCCCCTCTCCCCAGCGCAGACGCTGGAAGTTACTATTTAGAAGGGCATGTGGTGTGCTTTAATACAACTAGACTAAACGAATAATCGGTGTGGTGTTGTGAACGTCAGTGACGGAGAGACAAAGGTGGCCGGGCGTGGTGCTGGCGACCCGCTTGCGTGCCGTGCCTCGGCCTTCACGAGGTGGCTGGCCAACCAGCACTTGCCTGAACAGCCTATAAAGAGGCGATACGGGGGATCTTTGTCTTTGCAGCATGAAGTGTGCCAAGCGAAATGTAAATGCTTTAGTAATACAGTAATGCTGTGGTAATAAAATACCAGCAGCATCGAATGATACAATTGATTTAGGGAAAGAGTGGCAGCATTGTCTTTGTGTCGTGTTTCCACGGCCAGCTGTTAACAACGCCGGTGGCAATGAGGTTCGACACTCGTGCATACTGGACTGTAGCTAATAACCCACTCGGTAAATCAACCTCCATTCTGTATCACGCACATAAATATTCAATGGCATTTCATAAGCCGGCCCATGGCATAAGTCTGTGGGGTCCTTCCTCGCACCTCAAATTAGCATGGTCGGCCACGTGCGGTGGAAAACAAGTTCAACGTACGCACGAGACAACTCGTGACCGGGTTTGAACTTTTCAGTTCTCATCAGCAAACCGTGAGAATTTTATTGTGCAATTTTATTTTATTATTTTATTATTTTATTCCCATTCTACGTGACTTTACCGAAAGAACCAAAGAAGACCTTTCCAAGGTTTGGGGTAGAAAAAAGTAATTAAACTCAAAACTCTCCAAGAATTAATTCAACAGCGCTGCACTGCTTCACGGCACACGCATTGCCGGTTAATGGTGTTGTGTACCACAATGTTCCATGTGATATTAATGTGTCCGTGCTATTGCTGCTGCATTTCAGTACCTGTCGCATGCTGGGCTGGGTTAATTGGGTTCTATGGCCCAAGGCTGTGCCAAATAAATAAAAAAATATTTTTCACGAAAAAAAGTGCGGCTTCAAAGTGTGGGCTTCAACTAACCTCAATGCTTCCTAAATTACATATTTATGACATGAAAATTAAAACCAATTCCCACAAAACCCACTAAAAGCACAATTAGCCTGTATTTAAATACAGGTTCTGGTTTTACATTGATGGTGATCACTTTGGAAATGGCATTTGCTGGCAGAAGACACTGCCAAAATATGCAGCGAGCATTGGGGAATACATTGACTGTACATTAAACACACACACACATCTGCCCAAACATATTCCACAGTTGTGGTTGATCTACCCCTGGCAGTGAAATGACAAATGCCACCCAAATCTCGGAAAAACAGGTTGTGCCGTTGATAGATGTTCTTTACTACGTGAGTAGAAAAATATCCATTTCATTTATTGCCAGTCCAAGAAACATTTTTTGTGATCAGAAAATTGAAAAGACAGCATACGGTGTCCATAGAGGATTACACTCTGGCTTTGGGTATTCAGGTGCCAGTTTGTTACTGAACCTGGTGACCCCAACCTGATTCCTGGCTATGGCTCAACAATAATGGCGAGTGATGTCCGAACCAGGTTTGGAGGCACTCTCCTTACTAACCATCCCCCACTGACTAGCGTGGTGAAATATGGTGAGCTGCCATGACTTAGGGAGGCCTTCATCCAGCAGTGGATTGACAAAGTCGTTTCTACCTATCACGAGTTCAGTGGTTCATAATCGTTTTTTCGATAGTGCTGGCAAAGTAAAAATGTTTTTGTCTTTTTAAAGTATTGTGATAGCAGAAGTTCACGACAAATCGAGCTGGTACCATTTATACCAACCACAACAAGCGCCATTCGCCACCAAGTGGTGGTGGTGACATCACCACGGCGCTTGTGCCAGACTATGCGCAGGTTAAGGCCACGTGAAGTGTCGAACGCCCACTGGTGGTCACAGGACAGACCCAGGTGCCATGGGTTGACTTGACTGAGATGACTGGCCGACGCACCACCTGTGTTTACACCACATCCGTCAATACACACACTCAAGGAGGCGAGGAATCACTTTGAGGAATAATCTCACATGCCGATCGTGGTTTGGAATTCCACATTCCTATGGTCCCCAGCCAGCTTAGTCCACACATTTCGTAAAGGACCCCAACATACATACCTCCTGTACCCAATCTGATCTGTTGAGTTTCCGGCGCAGTTATCTGCTGATCAAGGTAGAGGCCATTTTCAAAACCAGCTGTGATAGACTTAAAGCGCCTTCATGTAAGAGGGGGTAAACATAGCTGGCACGTTTGTCAGCATATTTGCCACGATTCACCCCTCTGGTGATTCCATTTGTCGCCAACAGATTTCAAAATCGAGAATTTGTTAACATCGCGATGAATGTAGCTACCACTATTGAACTATTATGTACAACGTATGTACGTATGTAGAACTTATTTTGCACCCTACGAAGCCAAACCGTGCTAAATGGGGCATGACATAAAACGTGTCATACCCCTGGCTTGTCAGGAGAAGGCAGTGTAGAAAAAAATTGACTCCACCTGTTCCGTCTGTATGGGATAGAGTGTTTTCCCCTCGCACGAGTGGAGTTTTCTCCAGGTGCTCCGGTTTCCTCCTCCAATGTAAACACTCATTATTTGTCCAACAACACCTTAACATATACAGGGTGCAGAGCTTCGGCGATTGTTGGCGTGGCTGCCTTCCTGCTTGTCCGTGGTTCCCGCTCGCGCTTCCGAGTCGTTGTGTGTCCAGGAGAGCGAGCGAATGCCGTGTGCGGTGGCGCTTTACAAGCTGGATTCACCGTTATTCGCTATTACGATATTCAGATTCGGACTCAAATGAGGTGCCCCAAGTTGTCCACTGGCTCAGCCACTCGCCAACTTTGACGTCAAAACTTACAAACGTTGCCGATCAGTTCCCCACCATACGAAAGAAGAAGACGAATCTATGATGTAATCTATAATAATCTATAATAATCGATGAATCACTAACAGCTGTACGTGCCGGTCATAGCCGAACCAGGTTCGTAGTCGGCAAGAGTGGTTTTGTTTGTGTGCCATTGCTGTTGTTTGTAAATGCTTCTACAGACTTTTCATGAAGTACTGTAACATAACTGTGGTGGTAACCACATCCCCACATGAAACACAAATCCACTCAACAGTTGAGTGCCAAATTACAATAGTTTCCCAAATAAATACGTGGGCCCTTACGTCATTTTGAAATAGACATTTCACTTACAAAACAACAATTGCCACAGAACGGACAAAATACAAACGCCCCAAATCTAATGAAGTTTCGGGATGGGTGTGACTTCACACTTCAGGACATTTAAATAGCTTTGATCGTTTCTATCACACACATCGGGCTTCTGTTAACGCTGTCCTACAGTTCCTGCTCCATATTGTTGTTGCAGCTGGCCCGAGGGTAGGGCGTGTTGTGCTGCTGCTGCTGCTTAGAGTCGAGAATCACGTGGGGGGCGGCTCCT